TTTTGCATGGAAAAAACGACCAAAATCACGTATAATGTGCGGATTTTTTCTAAAAGGTCAGAGAATTTTTCTTGCACTTCTAACACCTCAGACGAACGTTAGGAATGCAAGATAATTATTTCCGACCATTTCCAAAAGAAATAGCGACTTACTTAAAATTCGCCTCTATAACGCGTTTCAGGCTCTAAATGATAGGTTTTGCACGAAAAAACGTCCAAAATTACATTATACGTATAATGTGCGGATTTGTTTTAAAAGGTCGGGAGTATTTTTCTTGCACTTCTAACACCTGAGAGGGACGTTAGGAATGCAAGATAATTATTTCCGACCATTTCCAAAAGAAATAGCGACTTACTTAAAATTCGCCTCTATTACGCGTTTCAGGCTCTAAATGATAGGTTTTGCATGGAAAAAAACGACCAAAATCACGTATAATGTGCGGATTTTTTCTAAAAGGTCGAGAGTATTTTTCTTGCACTTCTAACACCTCAGACGAACGTTAGGAATGCAAGATAATTATTTCCGACCATTTCCAAAAGAAATAGCGACTTACTTAAAATTCGCCTCTATAACGCGTTTCAGGCTCTAAATGATAGGTTTTGCATGAAAAAAAAACGACCAAAATTACTTTATACGTATAATGTGCGGATTTTTTTAAAAAAGGTCGGGAGTATTTTTCTTGCACTTCTAACACCTGAGAGGGACGTTAGGAATGCAAGAAAATTATTTCCGACCATTTCCAAAAGAAATAGGGACTTAGTTCAAATACGCCTGTATAACGCGTTTCAGGCTCTAAATGATATGTTTTGCACGGAAAAAAACGACCAAAATTACATTATACGTATAATGTGCGGAAATTTTTTTAAAAGGTCAGGAGAATTTTTCTTGCACACTTCTAACACCTCAGAGGGACGTTAGGAATGCAAGAAAATTATTCCCGACCATTTCCAAAAGAAATAGCGACTTTGTTAAAATTCACCTGTATAACGCGTTTCAGGCTCTAAATGATAGGTTTTGCACGGAAAAAACCGTCCAAAATTACATTATACGTATAATGTGCGGATTTTGTTTTGAAATGTCGTCAATATTTTTCTTGCACTTCTAACACCTATGAGAGACGTTAGGAATGCAAGAAAATTATTTCCGATCGTTTCCAAAAGAAGTAGCGATTTTGTTAAAATTGGCCTGTATAACGCGTTTCAGGCTCTAAATGATAGGTTTTGCACGGAAAAAACCGACCAAAATTACATTATACGTATAATGTGCGGATTTTTTTTAAAAGGTCGGCAGTATTTTTATTGCACTTCTAACACCTCTGAGAGACGTTAGGAATGCAAGATAATTATTTCCGACCATTTCCAAAATAAATAGCGTCGTTGTTAAAATTCGCCTGTATAACGCGTTTCAGGCTCTAAATGATAGGTTTTGCACGGAAAAAACGTCCAAAATTACATTATACGTATAATGTGCGGATTTTTTTTAAAAGGTTGGGAGTATTTTTCTTTCACTTCTAACACCTCAGAGGGACGTTAGGAATGCAAGAAAATTATTCCCGACCATTTCCAAAAGAAATAGTGACTTTGGAAAAATTCGTGTATAACGCGTTTCTGTGTACTACTCTAGTAACGGTTCTAATTTCCTTGCATTTCCTAGTTTGCGCTCTGGCTATTTACACGTTCTTTCTTGAACAGAGACGTTCCTACCACGAGGTGTCACCTCGAGGACAGCGCACTTCCTTACCCCTCGCCGTGTTAATGACAGCCAGGCTATACCGTCTTCCTGCTCCTTCCTCCGCTCTGCCTTCAGGATTCCAGGCTACAAACCTCGTGATTAACCAACAAACTTAATGACTATCTTATGACTTTTTAGTTCGAGAAATCTCTGGTAGCACTCCAGTTTACCAACAGACCTTGCTCGTACATTCCAGATGTTTACCTTGGTCCTTCTGTACCGACGGAGTGGAAGTAGTGTTTGTTTTGTTTTCTTCTGTTTTGATAGACTGGTTTGTTAGTGAGTTATTGTGCTAACTACCCTACTCCCACGTGATTCACAGTTTTCTACACTCACTCTTCCAGCATTTGTTGTCTGATGGGCTGTCCTGACTGTAACTGATCCTTCCCTCGGACCCTATCTCTCATGCCCTCACCTCGCCTTGTTTTCGTGACGGTGACGGTGAGCTCACTACCCTAATTGTGTGTGTTTGTCTTTGAAATAGACGGGAAACACAGTTCTCTTCGGAGCTTGCGAAGAAGAGAACAAGCATAGACACTTTTAATCCACTTATGTCATGTCCCGAATCCATATCTATGTACCTAGGCCAATATGTATGTAGCGCTTAAAAAAGTAAACAAGAATTTTCACAGACAGAAATATTTAATGTAAATCATGTCAATACGCCATTTTCGTTATACTTATGAAGTTATAGTTTCTAGACTAGTATGAAGTTATAGTTGAAGTTATAGTTTCTTGCCATACCATGTACAACCTTCGAGGAATAAAGAGCATCACCTGTATACCGAGAAGGAACAGGATGTCATTTTACATTTTTACAACGGAAACAATATTTGTACATTTTTGTGAATACGGTACATCCATCAGTAAGACAGTTGTGGCACCAGTTGATGTCAATCTTACCAACGTCCAACTCATATTTCAGTAGATTACATGGTTCTTGTTGTCTGTTTGATATGCCTTTTCTATTCTGGGCGATCGCTTGACTACACAATAGCATGGCGATCTCTTACGCAAATCATGCGCAAATGAAGTTTCAGTGCACAAGGTTGCCACGCAGATGCAGATTCATATACAGATATTTAGTATTATAATATAACAATCAGATGATTTTACCAACAAAAATGTGGTTAGATCTACAAAAACGTTTTCACTAAAGCATTTTGCACTTTTGCAACAGTAATGAGTTATAGCTCCAGAGTGATTAATTCTGTATGAGTTCCTTTTTCTTAAGTTACATAAACCTTTATTCTTAACAAGCTTTAGTTTTTAAAAAATAATTTCCAACATGTAATCACAAGACGTGGTGACGGCACACTCAAGTTTTTTAAACTTATATTAATGCCGCCACCAACACAGGGGACAATACAATGCTCATTTTCACCTGAGCGAAGTGAGGAAAGTCGTGTAAAGTGCCTTAACCAAGGGCACGAGATCGGTGGCATGTCTGGACTCGAACCCGGGACCTCTAGGTTCCGAGTCGAGCACTCTGCCGCTACGCCACACGACCCCACGGCTTTAGTTGCGGTGGTTGTTTTTGCACATTACATTACATTACTGTTGTATATCAAACTTTTTTTCTTTTTAAATAAGTTCTGAAAATCTATTTACTGTGAAGTACGATTGCCGCAAGGTTGGTCAAACATGGTTGAAACAAAGGATTCTTCTATATCAGTAAGGTCGTTAGGAATGGCCGGCGAATAATCCTCTTGAAAGATACGGTGTGCAGATGGTTGCCCTCCTTGTGTACATGTTGAAGTGGCGGTGTCCGAAAGAGGGATGTAGCCGCCGGTGACCGCCATCTTCGGGAGGGCTGTGCTGTTTGGTGTCTGGTCAGGAGTCAGGAAAGGTGCATTTGACGGGGATGCACACGAGATCTGAGAAAAAAAGGCCTCCCAGATAAATCGTATTAAAAGATATTCTACTTGGATGAAGAATTTAGGAATTTATGTAAATATTAGCGTTTAAGAGTTCTTCTCCTCGTCAACTGCACACCTCGACACAAGCAACTAGAGTTCCAATACCTCATGCCTTCGTCAAATAATATTAAACTTAACTACCGTATATTCATATTCTGTACCCCATGGCAGTCTTTTCTTTAATACGCCATTCTAACCTTTTTAGAGACATTACATAGCTTTCAAAAAAGCATGTACACATATGTAATATATAAGGGCGGACATGACACCCATTAGTTTAGTCCTGTCCTTGCCTCAATATACTGGTATGTCAGGGTAGTGACTCTAATCTGGTTCTGATTCTGCTGATAGAGATCCCGATAAGAGTACAGCTTGCGACAATGGTACAATCTGCGATTTCTGTTCAGTATCATATCGTACAGCATTAAAAGCTATCTAGATTTCATGGCAAGCTCAGACTATCTAAAAAAACTATGTCAGTAGCAACCAGCAATATGATTGAATGTTTATTTGGTTCTTTGATACTATAATTACTAAGCCGGCTGACTGGGGCTTCTGCAGCTGTACCTTATAACCTGGAGGTCATGAAAGATTTACACAAAAAAGCCCATCGCATTTCCCCACAAGCCACTAGGGAGTCCAACCTTACACCACACTATTTATGCCCCCAAACCTATTTACAATACAAAAATCCTGACCATTGCTATTCCTGAGCTTGAACTGCTGACAAACTAGCAAACACAAAAGGTCTACAGCAGTGATGTAGGGACCCCCCACGAGGCCCGTTTTCGAACTTGACCTTGGTCTCTACAACGGTAACCTGCCTACCAAAAGTCATGAACAGCCATTTACATATACTTGCGTTATTCTGCGAATAAGCGATAACAACAAAAGGTCCACTGCATTGACGTAGGGACCCCACACGAAGCCCATATTTCCACTTGACCCTGGTAACTTGCCTGCTGAAGATCATGAACATCTAATCATGCCTTTAAGAGTTATGCCGCTAAATCAACGGTCACGTACACTAAAGCAGACCGTTTTATACCCTTCTGACGAAGGCAACGAAGGAAAACAATAAACCTCTAAGGTTCAAGCAGTTTATACAGAACTAGAGTTCCTCGATCTCATAACTTCGCCAAATGATGTTAATCTTTATGACTGACAATTTGTAGATTATTCCCCCTAATTGTGCAAATAGGATCCTCATTTTCATGAATTACATCAATTTATCATATTCTCAACCAAACGACAATCTTATACTAACAAACAATCCCATTCTAGCATTTCCTCATAAAGTATGCATATGAGGTCCTGATTTGAGTACATTATGTTTAATGATGTTCACCTTCACTGAACTTTCAAATACCAAGAGTATGAAATTTCAGGCAGTTATCATTACATAATTTTAAACATTTCTCATCAATTATGCAAATTAGGTCTTCATTTACATAATCAATATCTGCCTGTGTTTCTCTCGTTCTCAATTACCAATGTCACAAGCTTCAATAGTCGTATCATGGAATGCAGCTGATTTATAGAATCTCCCCATAAATTATGCAAATTACATCCACACTTACATAGCTGTCACAAAATCATATCAAGCATCACGTAAGCTACCTACATACCAAAAATGACGAAGATCCGTCAATCGGTTCTTGAGTTATCCTCTTTTGAACATTTTCAAACAGATAGCCCTGCAGTTCCAGAGCAAGCCGCTAGGGCACCCAAACTCACGTCACGTTTTGCCCAGCACAAGAGCTACCTACCATTTAAATTTCGTTACCCTATCTAGATCATGAGATATCAAAACCGAAAGTTCACCTGCAGTACCATAACAAGCCACCAGGGGGTCCAAAATCTAATCATTTCTAGGTCTCATCAAGACCTACCCACCTACCAAATATCAAGTCTATTTAAGCCTTCTCAAGTTATCGTGTTGACAAACAGACACACAAACACGAACGGCTACGAAAACATAACCTTCTTGGCGAAGGTAAAAACGCTACATTATGCAAAAAAGTGAGTATTAGGGCGATAGCTCAAATTATTAGATGACAGAAGCCAGCTCGTGGTCTCACATGATTGAGAGGTCAATTTCCGTTACATGGTCATCACAAAAGAAACGTTGAAACTAGTACCACAAGCACTCGTCCGAAGTCACATGGATTACTGTACGGGCATAATGTCGACCTGTCTGCAATCTCAGCTTAACAAACTGCAAATTATTGAAAACAAAGTAGCTAGACTGGTACTAAATGCCAAGTACAACACTAGCATTGATGATATGCACAGAAGCTTACACTGGTCCACTGTTTAAGAGTGCTTAAGACTGTACACAGAAACACTTTCTATGTTTAACAAGCTTCTAACAACTAAAAACCTGATTCAATCTATAAACGATTACATAAAGTTAATACGTTAATGATACACACCAAGACAACACACGCCCAGCGCAAAGGGCAGGCTTTAAACTGCCAAAACCAAAAGCAACCTCAGCCAAACGAACGTTCCTGTACCGTTGCAACAAATCATATAACACATTTCCACAATACATCAGATTATCTGCCCCAACATCCGGAAGCTATCTATCTGTCACCAAGAGCCAAGACCATGGCATGTTCAGGACAAATAAATACAAAACCCGGTTTTTGTTCTGTTGCAGTACAAAGGTCAGCAACCAGGAGGCCTATATTTGACTTGACATTTGTCTTTCTATGACCTACCAACATACCTAATATCATCACAATTTATTAAGGCGTTCTGATGCATACACAGACATACCGAAAACAATACCTCCATTTTTCATAAATATCTCAATCGTAATCCGTAATCGTAGTCGAGGTCATGCCAGATCGTAAGGGTAGAAAGTCAGAGGCCTCGAAACTGTGCACACATTATTTTGACGGTATAGATGATGCAGTTCTAACAAGGAGAAGTCGTAGACATCGTCCCTCCATGAAATAGCTTGTTATTTTGTAATCTTTTGGTGTATTTTAATAGAGATATTATGAGTCAAACTTTGTTTTTATCAGCAGAATGATAGATGTCTATAGATGTCTATCCTTTAAGAATTTTGTTGTGGCACTTCGTAGTGGAAGGGGTTGCCCAAGCTGTCATGTGCAATCGTTTAGTGTCTTGTTACCATGGTTTGTTTGAGGTCAATGACCTCTCAAGCACCAGATGACCCAGTTCCCTGCTGAATGACCGATTAAAGATAAGATATATTTCCTGCAGAAATGGTCTAGAGGTAAAAATAGATTGGCCTGACCTGCCAGCTGGAGGTATAAACAAAAACACTCTGTGCCAATTTGGGGTCAAACAGACCATCCTATTATGAAATAGGGGTGAAAATGTGAAAATCCTTTTAAATAAGCAATGCAAATCTACGACAACCTGCTAATGCACGCTAAAACGCAAAGACAATCAGCATCTACCCACATACCAAAAATGATCGCCAACCATCCACCGGGTTCTGAGATCATTCAACGCAAACAATCTGACATTGAGATAGCAATTCCGGTTCAAAGCAAACAGCTAGGGGGCCCAAATTTACATCACTAAACCATTGTAACCACAACTACATGCTACCTTAGCATCGCACACACAGACCATAACGTGCCAACAATAGAATAAAAAAATTAAACTGCAGTACCAAGGTCAATCACCAGGTGCTCAAAGTCAACCTACACAATCTCCAAGGCCCCATCCATCAATCTGCCAAATATCATACAGTTCCTTCTCACCGATCTTCAGATATCAGACCAAACATGAAACGGAGTAAAAACAATACCCCCCATTTACATGGAGGGTAACAACGGTTGGGAGTTCATTCCAACCTACTGCACCTCTTTAAGCAAACGTTCTATTGCCGCATTCTAATATGGCTTTGGGGAGTCAGGTAAAATAGATATGGGTTTCAAAGGTTCTATTGAAGATGTTTAGGTACTCATGTAACTGGTTGTGGGCTTACTTTCGTTCAGTTTGCAAATGATGAATTTAGAGAACGGCTTGCACTAATTACCACCATGGATCTAATGGTTCACGTCACCTTAAGAAAACTGACATCTACAGAGCTACCTCTATGGAGGTGATTAGTACAGACCTGCAGCACGAGCAGAATTTTTTTCAAACTCCATGGTGCTAGCTCCGCGCACTAAGAATGCTTATACATTGTTCACCTCACCTTCAAGAAAAATACATATACATGGTTTACGTCACCCAAGAAAAAACACCACACTCTAGAATATATAAGGCTTGGCTAAGATTGGTTTATTTGTATTTGTGAATCTTCTAAATCTAACTCTAAATCTTAAATAAAAGTCTTTTGGTTTTACTACCCCACGCACTGTGAATGATACACATAGTGCCCTTCTTGTTTCTCCAACTGTTTTACTGGCACCATGGAGCTAGCTCTATGCACCATGAATATACTAGTACGTATAGCATAGTTTTGATCGGTTTATTTGTATTTGTAAATCTTGGATGACAGTGTTTTGGTTTTACGGCCCCATGCACTGTGAATGATACACATAGTGCGGCCCTTCTGTTTTATCGAACTGTTTTACTGGATCCATGGAGCTAACTATGCGCACTTTGAATACAAACAAGGTTTACGTCACATTTAAGAAAAAGAAAGTTACATCTATGGATGACCTCTCAAGAGCGTTTTTTTGGCTCCTTACAGTATGAAAGCCCAGTAGAGAGAATAAGTCAGGTGATTCTCATGTATTTTTGACTGTTCATATATATAGGTGTTTTTGAAGGTGATGCGAACCATGTGCGTGTGACAGCCCAAGCGTGTCTCGTGCTCTTCATATGGCTTTTGGGTCTGATACATTCCACTGCAGAGGGGGTTGTTTTCTTTTGCAAAGTTTTGCTACAACAACGACTTTGAAATAACTTCATAACCGCACTTAACGTCACGACGTTGCTCTTACGTTGTGGAAAATAGATAATCATGATGTGACAATCTCTGTCCTTATCTGTATAGTCGAAGAATGATGCTGTTCCGGACTACACTTTTCCACTAGTACCCCTCCAAACAAATGTCATTTTCTCATTTCTTGCACGATTGATTATTGTAAAATATATATCAGGTATGGGACTTCTTTAACACAGAGCGTATTTCAGAAATGAACTAGAGTACATTGGTGGTTGGTGAGAAATTGAATAGTTACCTGTGTGAGTGCAAGGCTGTTGCTGCGTGTACTCCGTGTTTGGTAGCTGGAAAGGCGTGAGCATCTCATACTTTGGTGTCTCAGGGTCCGCGACATCTGCCAACGTTCCCATCGCTTCTGAAACTCGCCTTTTACCTAGTAAAATGCACGAAAAAATTTTGTTCACAGATACAGGTATAGAACACACAAACACGATTAGTTCGTGACTACCCTGTTGTGAATACCTCTCTTAATCTTGTGGGACGGTACACAGGGTGCCCTTTAACTGCAAATGCTTGCTATTCGTAAGTTTGAGAAAACAGAAAGCGAATCGCTAGAATATTCTAGACTTTGATTGGACAATAAATTTGTAATTGTATGTACTTTATCTAGCCCGACTCAGCTTGTGTTGCAGCAGAAAAACTGGCTATGCTCGGTGAACTAGGTTAAAAAAGACAGGAAACAATCATTATCCAAACAAAGGGTTAGGCTTCGGCGCATTGCGTACGAGTTTCAGACTTTTTAAACTCTGGCTTTCCTTTCTTACCGGTATGTGCTTTTTTTCGCTAACCAAATCTATGCCGGCACTAACACTGGCGCGGGAAGCTCTTTTAAGGTTGACATTGCCCTTCCCCAGGAACCATGAAATCATCATTTTCTTGTCTGCATCATCACACATCCTGCAAGTGCAGCTGACATTCAATCGGCAGCGCTCGCCTCTCGCTGACTTCGCCTATTCAGAGCTTCCTATTCAACCTCCCTATTAATGCGACCGGCAAAATGTCATCAACCCCTACTAAATTTACCTAATGTCATTATAACGCAGCTGTCATTTCACATGGAGAGGCAAATCCAGAATCAGGGCATAAAGAAGACATATGGATATTTACATGTATAGTAAATATTATTTGACGAATTTTAGATGTATGTAAAAGAAGTATTACAGTTAGCCAAAGGGTATAAACTTGACGAAAACAAGTTGAAATGCTGCTGTGACCATGGTGACCGTTAACTGAGGGTTATCACGGAAATTTCGCAGTTCGAGCGTACTTGTAAAACGACTATGAACTGTTGAGTGATTAGGTTTATAGCGCACTGATACTTATGTCTTTTTGGTTAGGCCAAAGCAAGCAATTTTTATGGATGACATCAGTGCGCCCATTCACTTTCGCCTGATTTAGAAAAAAAAAAACAATAATTTTTTTTTGCCTTCTGACAGTGGTTAACATGCCAAAAATGGGTACAATCGTATGTCTTGCCATTCTGGAACAAGGAGGGCAGATATATATGAAGAGACAGAACAAGACAGGGCTCTGATTTATTGTTTTATCTTTTACTTTGATGCTGTGATGTATTTCATTCCTGTTATATGTTTCTACTGAATCAAAACAATTTGCACAATGATTGAAAGTTTATATTTTTCATATGTTTATAAGTTTTATTTAGTGACAAATGGATGTTGACAGTAATAAGCTTAGCACAATATAGGTATCACGTCTTGTTTAACAAGGTTTATTACGTCCATATTTGAAAAATGTAGGAATCTTGTTTCTTTTTTGGCTCGCCTTGTTTTTTTTTGGATTTCGTCCTACATGTATAATATTTGGGGTCTGCGGAGGATGTCATCCATAATGCCCCCGTCACATTGTCGACGAGCCTCGGCCGTATTTGTCAATCGCCGAAAGATCGGCCGATTTTGAGATCGACCGACGATCGCGCGTATTTTTGGCTAGAAAATCGTCGCTGTCACATTGTGCGAGGCTCGGGCGATCGCTTAGCAATACATCTATGATAATGAAGTCCCTATGACATGGTACGCAGATGAAGGAAGGCCAGTGTATCCACCAAAAATGAATAGTTTGACCAATTTTTATGTTTGACCTGTCGTTATATTTTTTTAAGCAAAGTACTGGAGCGGACTGGCAGAATAAAATATAAATACAAACATGAATTCTGTAAAGGATCCAACTCAAATACTACCACAAGAGCCACAAATTTACACTACCGTCTGGTTAACACAACGACCACCTTTTTAACCAGACAGGAGTCGGCCGAAGCTCGCTCGACACACGGGCGTACGTCGCCCGAGTTACGGTCGACGATCTATCGATGCTCGCACGATCTCTAGACCATTCAACCAAAACGTACAAGACATAATGATTATCATTATATCAAAATCTTTTTATACACGCGTTCCTGAACAATGCTAAAACTTTACCTGTATACTTCTGTCTAAAATAGTATGTATGAATATTCCGGTAAACAAGTTAGCCATTCAATGCCAACAAAGTAGACAGAGGTAAAAAGACCCATGCAATATAAACTTCAACTAGTAAGTAATATCTATCACATGACGTTCTTGTGGGCACCCTAAGAAAAAAGTCAATCTCATTCCAGAATGAACAAGTGTAAACGTCAATTTATTATACAATCATCTGAAATAAGGCCACACACCTCCTAAAGGGACAAGAGTAAAGGATTTCATGTGCGTTCAATAAGTTGAGGTCAAAATCTAGACATTTGGCCTTATAGTTAAAGCCTCGTCATCTTTTTAAAGTGGTTTTGTTTATTAACGAATGTTGATTTAACAAAAGGACGATTTTGTCTATTTTTATCCTTTCTCGTAAACATAACTTTAACAATCAATGGGACGTTGCTCCTGCAAACTTTACACAGTATACTGTCAATGTAATCTCAAATAAATGTCACAGGTGCTGAATAAATAATAACTTCACAGGAGCTCGGCCGAGGCTCGTAGAACCTTCGTCCGACACTGGGCACGAAGCTCGCTCGAAGCACGCACGATTTTAAAAACTTTGCGTAAGTCGGGCGAAGTACGGAAGAGGGTCGCCCGAATATTTCGCGAGGGTCGACCGTAGTCAGCGACCGTCGCCCGATTTTCAAAGACGAAATACGGCCGAGACTCGTGGGATGTACGTCCGAATATTGGTCGACTCTCGGCCGCACAGGGGCGAGCTACGGGCGAGCTACGCGCGAGCTGGAAACGAGCTCTGCGATCTCAAAAATCGCCGGCGACTAGTCGCTGATGTTAAGAACACGTTTCGCGTGTCAGCGAGCTTCGGCCGACTCCAAAAAATCGCCGGCGATCCCGAAAATTCGCGCGATGCTCGACGAAACATCGGGCGTACTACGGCCGTAAATGTCGTTTAGAGCTCGCCGACTAGTCGGCCGATCGATTTACGCGCGATGTGACGGCCCCATAAAGGGATAAGATATACAAATCTCCACACCGAACTCTCTGACATCATTCAGAATCATTGTTGTTAACCTCGGTTATTACCTCCATGAAAAATGGAGGTATTGTCCTTGATCTGTGTGTGTGTGTTTGTGTGTGCGTGTGTGTGTGTGTGTGTGTGTGTGTATGTGTATGTCTCTCTCTGTGTGTGCGCACCCGTGTGTAGCACTGTGTGTGATTTCGCACATTTGCAGTCGTCATAACTTCAGAACGCTTTTACGGATTGTGATGTTATTTGGTATAATGGTAGGTCATAGGAGACAAAGGTCAAGGCCAAATATGGGCCACCTGGTGACTGACCATGGTAGTGCAGCAGAACCTCCGGTATTTGTATCTTTTGTCCTGAACATGACACGGTCTTGACATTCTGGTGACAGATAGCTTTTCCTGTCAGGAATAAGTGGTGTGGGTTTTGTCCCCCTAACAATTTCTTCTGGAACTGCAGGGGGGTTTCTGGCGAAATGTTTTAAAGTGGATAAGTCCATGACGTAAGCTGCATAATTATGGAGGACATTCTGCAATATCAGTGTTTTATATAATAGCAAATTCATACATGTCATGTATGTAATCTATGGAAGGTGGAAGTGTGGGAAGATCGAGAGCAACGTGCGCACCGACGACACGCTGCCACTACTACCAAGCAGGCCCCATGAACAATGAACTGTAATTTTGGACTTTGGAGATTGTAAGATGACCTTAGGCTCAAATCTGATTTGTCTTGTAACTAGGAATGAGCCATCCTCTTTTGTTTTGCGCAGTTGGTCATAATTTTTTTAGACTGACTGACAGAACAGATTCATGGTGATGGCCACCTGAAAATAGCAATTTTTAAAAATAGAATATATTGAAATGGCCCCTAGGTAGTAACATGCAAAAATGCAACACACTGCATGTTACTAGCTAGGGGACATGGAAATCGCTATCATTTAGCATGGACATGATATACCAGGAAACGTACATTGGGGAAACAGAGAGGTCTCTAAAAGCCAGGTTTCAAGAACATACACAGCCTAGCTCTGCCAGTTCAGAGGTGTCTCAACACATTCACAAAGAGTCACCCGTACATTTTGTTTCACTTGACAATGTAAGGATTTTAGACACTGAACAAGACTATTTCTTGAGAGGGGTGAAGGAAGCCATTTACATCAGGGCCCATCACCCTACATTGAACCGCAAGGGTGGCCGACATCGTCTACCAGATACCTTTGACCCAGAGTTGACGTCACACTTCAAAGAAGCCACGTGACAACCTTCACTGGGTCAGTCTACTGAGGAAGACCAGAGTGACTGGTCGAAAGCTCTAGGTGAGAGAATTTTTTTGTGTTTGGACTAAAAGTTTTAACTTTAAACATGATATACTATTGTTTATATGCAAGCAATAGACTAACTTTCAGGTTTCATACGTAACAAGAGTTCAACTACCTCATTCCTTCGCAAAATAATGTTTACCGTTAAAACTGACTAATTATGCATTTTTCATGGCTATTGTGCATTTACATGAATTACATCAGTTGATCATATTCTCATCTCAATAACATGATTATCTTAAATCAAGAAATAAGGCTATTCTAGCATTTACTCATGAATTATGCAAACGAGGTCCTGATCTAAATAAAATATGTTTAGTAATGTTCATCTTTACTTAACTTCCAATTATGACAAGTATTAAATTCCCGCTGGTTGTAGCAATTTTACATTAATTATACAGATTAGGTCTTCATTTGCATAACTAATATCTGCCAATGTTCCTGTCGTTTTCAATTACGTATGTCACAAATATTACATAGCCGTAATATCGAACACAAGAGATTAATAGAATTCCTCATTCATTATACAAATTAGATCCCGATTTGAATAATTGTAATTAAATTATATCAAACATCTTCAAGGCTAACTACAT